GTGTTTTCGCCAATATATCAATCTACAACTACCAGATTAAACCTACACCTCCAAATTAAAGCTAAAAACAAAACAGCTTATGAAAAGAATAAACACCGTGAAAAGAAAGCGGTGTTGGCAGATTACCATAGAGGGCGTCGCGGTACCAATGTTGGTACCAGCAAGTTCGCCGATCGCAATGGAGAAAATCCAGCATATAGAATAGGTCACACCCTCTGGGGACCATTATTGCCGAGCACTGTACGTGCACGTGACTTGTATAGGGTCGGGACAAGTGGGTTGGTGCAGTCGTTACTGTTGTCCTCGGTACCCCCTGCCCGTACAACGACCCCGCATGTACGTACTCTCCGCGCGGTGCACGCGTGCACGCATGCATGCACGTGACGGGAGGCTCGGCTCCGCGCGAAGCGTAGGATGGTGACAACGAAAAAAAACCTTCGAATCAGAGTGAATCCCTCGACTGTTATCGTCGTAGGGTTTTTGATCGAGCCGAGCTGTCGCGCATGCGTTCTTCTATCCTAGACAATCGCTCGCGACGGTGAATGTAACCATCCGCGACGACGACGGCGAATACAATCATTTTAAAAGAGAAAATCAACCACTGTGCTGGAGTTATTCACGAGGATTTGTGGATCACGAAATTCTCACGAGGATACATTGATCATGGTCGCACAAAAGACTTCCACGTATATTTCGGTGCAACTTTGTATAGGGAAAATTGTGAGGTACCGTCTGCGTTTACTCATCTTTAACATTTACACATTTTTAGGACATTTGGATATTTTAGTATTAGAGAAATTTTTAGAGACGTCGAAATTTGGGAATGATACAAAATTTGGGTACTGCGGTTAGGTTGATAAATGTGAGACTTTGGAATTTGAATATTTAATCATTTCAAGATCTAAGTCCCTGTCGATTTATATATTTACAAGTTCCAAAATATAGGACCTCCTTATGTTCAATATTCGATCATCAAAATTACTAAACCCAAAACTTTGCAAATATTTAAATCTTCAAATGTGCAAATATGTTTCTGTAACTCTGTTAGCTGGGACCTTGTCCAGCGAGCGAATTAAAGTTTCCGTCGTCCCCGCAATGTTCCATGAATCGCGGTGAGCGGCATAGTTCCATCCAAGTCGAGAGGGTTCGACTCGGGTAGAATTTCAAAAGTGGCGCGCCGATAAAGTGTATGCACGTTACGTGGGCGCGATGGCACTCGTTTGACGTAGCGAGGCGCGCGCGTTCAATCGAAATTGCGTCAGTCGTCGGTGCGGGGTCACGTGGGCTAGACGAAGCGGGACCAAGGGTCACGAGAGACAGGAAACGGTAGTATCGTGTACCGGATGTCGTAACTTCCGAGTCCTTTGGCCTCGCTGTTTCCTTTCGCGCAAACGCTCGTCGAGGAGCTTGTACCACGGGGGCAGATTTCCTATCGGTACGAAATTTCGAAACGCGCACGAATCAGAAGCGTTTAAGATGCACGAGTGGCTGGCTGGTTGGTTGGCTGGCTGGCGAGCGCCCTAATCGGGACAAGTGGGTTGGTGCAGTCGTTACTGTTGTCCTCGGTACCCCCTGCCCGTACAACGACCCCGCATGTACGTACTCTCCGCGCGGTGCACGCGTGCACGCATGCATGCACGTGACGGGAGGCTCGGCTCCGCGCGAAGCGTAGGATGGTGACAACGAAAAAAAACCTTCGAATCAGAGTGAATCCCTCGACTGTTATCGTCGTAGGGTTTTTGATCGAGCCGAGCTGTCGCGCATGCGTTCTTCTATCCTAGACAATCGCTCGCGACGGTGAATGTAACCATCCGCGACGACGACGGCGAATACAATCATTTTAAAAGAGAAAATCAACCACTGTGCTGGAGTTATTCACGAGGATTTGTGGATCACGAAATTCTCACGAGGATACATTGATCATGGTCGCACAAAAGACTTCCACGTATATTTCGGTGCAACTTTGTATAGGGAAAATTGTGAGGTACCGTCTGCGTTTACTCATCTTTAACATTTACACATTTTTAGGACATTTGGATATTTTAGTATTAGAGAAATTTTTAGAGACGTCGAAATTTGGGAATGATACAAAATTTGGGTACTGCGGTTAGGTTGATAAATGTGAGACTTTGGAATTTGAATATTTAATCATTTCAAGATCTAAGTCCCTGTCGATTTATATATTTACAAGTTCCAAAATATAGGACCTCCTTATGTTCAATATTCGATCATCAAAATTACTAAACCCAAAACTTTGCAAATATTTAAATCTTCAAATGTGCAAATATGTTTCTGTAACTCTGTTAGCTGGGACCTTGTCCAGCGAGCGAATTAAAGTTTCCGTCGTCCCCGCAATGTTCCATGAATCGCGGTGAGCGGCATAGTTCCATCCAAGTCGAGAGGGTTCGACTCGGGTAGAATTTCAAAAGTGGCGCGCCGATAAAGTGTATGCACGTTACGTGGGCGCGATGGCACTCGTTTGACGTAGCGAGGCGCGCGCGTTCAATCGAAATTGCGTCAGTCGTCGGTGCGGGGTCACGTGGGCTAGACGAAGCGGGACCAAGGGTCACGAGAGACAGGAAACGGTAGTATCGTGTACCGGATGTCGTAACTTCCGAGTCCTTTGGCCTCGCTGTTTCCTTTCGCGCAAACGCTCGTCGAGGAGCTTGTACCACGGGGGCAGATTTCCTATCGGTACGAAATTTCGAAACGCGCACGAATCAGAAGCGTTTAAGATGCACGAGTGGCTGGCTGGTTGGTTGGCTGGCTGGCGAGCGCCCTAACGCGCCCTCCTCGAGAGATCAGCCGAGCGAGTAATAGAACGAGAGAGGGAGAGAAAGAGAGAGACAAAAAAAAAGAGAGAGAGAAAGAGAGAGAAAGAGAAAGAGAGTACGAGTGAGGTCGTACAGTCGAGGTTCTCTGATAAGAGGGACAGAGAGAAAGGGAGAGGGAGAAAGAACGAGGGAAAGAAAGAGAGACGGGGAGGGAGGGAGAGAGGGAGCAAAGAAAGAAGGGAGAGAAAGGGACGGTGGCGAGAGAACGAGAGGGAGGAGGCCGCGAGGGGCGGGGGGAGGGTATAGTCGTCGTGAGCTCCTTACAGTGCATTGCCTTTACGATCCCTCGAGTCCCCGTCACACCCCGTGCCCCGACAAATCGCGTACGACGTGCCTCTCATGAAGAGATCCACGAAACCAGCTTCGCCGTCGAGCGATTCGGGTCGTCGAGATTCATCGAGAGGAAGAGTTTCTGTATGCGTGACAATGAACACACGAAAGTATATAACGGAGACGACGTGTGCGAGACACGGCACAGGGTATACCGCACCCCATGGACTTAGCCGATCTTCACCGAGCAAAAGAGCGCTGATCTCCTGCGCGACCACGTTCTCCTTTCGTTCCCCTCGAGAACACTGAACTCGCGTCTACCGTACAGTGGAGACTTTCACCGGTATCTTGTACGCGTTTCGAGGGTAACAAGATTATCACGTTGGCCTCACTCGATTCTCCGTTTACGCTCCTCGTCCAAAACGCTACCAGACGCTTTGCAACCATTCTATCCTACACTTTTCACTTTGATTATAATTATAACCGTCGCGGTACTACGCTCGGATGCTACGATAACTTCCTTCGGAGATGTAGGGGGAGGAGCCCCCGCTATCTTCCTTTGATTTTAGAGAAATCTGAAGATTCTCGAGATCCCAAATTTCCTTATCATCGTATTGTCAAATTTTCAAACCCTAACACCCCAGTTTCCAAATCCATAAATCATTAAATTTGTAAATTCGCCAATTTTCCAAGTACTCAAACGCCTAAACTAAACTCTCGAATACCGAAACTTCCAAACCCCCCAAATATTCAAATCCCCGAATTCCAAAAACTCTAATTAAATCCGAAAAATTATAATTTGAAACGGTACCAGCCAAGACTCTAACGGGGCCTTTCTCCCCATCGCCATTTTCTTGAAAGTAATCTACACTTCTCTGTAGAAATAAAAAAAGTTCGTTAAAAGGTCGTAAATCACGATGCGGAGGACCTTGGGGTACGTTCCAATATAATTGTTCGGGTTAATAGAGGTTCGTACACCTTCGAAAATGATTTACAAGTCGAAATGGTTTATAGCATCTAAAATAGGCTCTTCGAGTAGAAACTTTCGAAACAGCCACGTTTCACAGCACACGAGCGCCTTCACAAGAGGGGAGCACAAAGATGTGCTCGTCCCCATCCCCACCATCCCCATTTCGCTCTGTCTTGCTCGACACGTTTCTCATCTCGATGTCACGACAAATACGTCGCTTCCTTGTCGTTCGTATTTGATAATATATAGTTTTGATACGCACCGTGTGTACGTAACATGCATGTACCTGTTTAGGTGGTTTCCCGGGTCCATGCTGTAGATCGTGATAAAGGAAGTCGGCAAAGTAGGGAAAGAACGGCGTTGCGCAAAAATAAAACGCTTGACTGATAAAAAAAGAGGTGTGACGTCCAATGTTAGTCAAGTGGTAGCGGTAGTACCGTAACTCGTGGATTCGTCGGTTGTCCTGTTTCACCTGTGCCTGCAGTTCACACCGGTTCACGCCCTTCTTCTTTTGCACCGCTCTCACTAACGGTTAATCGACGTCGACCACTTCTTGTGTTATTCCAAAGAAAATTTAAGCACTGACAACGACATCTACCGATAATATTTGGGATTTTACCTTCGCGCGCTCTTTGCCCGTTTCTTTCGATTTGAATATGGATCTGGGGATACAGGGGTGAAGCGGAAGATTCAGATGACCGACGTGTGGAGGAGAAATAAAATCATTACTTCTTAGAGGTTTCCAGAAACTTCTTCAAATTTAGAAGTTTGAAACAAATTTCAAATTTTCCAATCTTAGAAATTCAGACATTTGAAACATTCAAATTTAAAGATTGAAAAACATAGAAATTTTAAACTCACAATTTTTCAGATTTATAAATTCTCGAATTTGTAAAATTTAAATTAAAAAATATTGAGTTTTGAATGTTATAAGTTTTGAATTTATAGTAGAACACGAGAGTCAATGAAACTAGGAATTGGCATACCTTCTTCTGTCTCTATATTTCTAGTACATGTTTTCGAATCACTGTAAACATAACCTAAGTTACAGTAACTTAAGATTTAAGTCTAATAAATAAGTTATAAACATATAAAAAAATGGTATTGTTAGTTGATAAGCTGAAATTAAGACAGTTGTTGAAAATACCTGTTCGATATAAAAATCCAAAACATCACTGGGTTTGTACTTTCCTAACCTTGCTATCAGAATAAAAATGTTATATTTCGATATACTTGTTATCCAATCATAACACGTGTGGAATAATTTATTATCACTGACAATTTATAAATCATTTGTTTATGCCTTCATGACAACACATGTATAATCTTAATTTATTGACTTATGAATATCTGTAATACTATCATGTATGATTTTATTTATAATAAAATTTATTTGTAATAAATCAAAAAGACCTCAAAACAGATTAAAATGTTGCTATAATGAAGTAATTTCCAATTTATTGTATCAACTTTATACTTTGAATGTAATGCTAATAAGTATATCAAAATTTAATGTTCCTATTGCTTAATTATTTAATTGACCTATTTTAAGGTATGATAAAATTAATATATACTTTCTTTTTTAGTCGGTACTTAAAAAAAGAAAAACATCTATAGACAAAGCATTAGAGCATTTTGATGACTTTTATGCAACTGTTTATGGAAAAGTTTGGGAAGATATACGTGCTGTATTGTTGGGTAAAAGTAATAAATATGTGGCTGTTGTAAATAATTTCAGTGATTCAGCTAAAGCTCAATCTGATTTAGAGGTACATTATTATTGCAAAAAGAGCATCAAAATTAATAATATTTAATATCAAATAAATTATTTTAGTTACTTGGTGCAGTAAATTTAAAAAATGTATATGATGTTTATAAAGAAGATATAGAAAGAAGGAAACAAATGAAAAAACAAAATGAGTCAGAAACTGAGTCACAAAAGCCCAATAAAGTAACAGATGATTTGGTAGAAAAAGCTCATTTAGCAGAACTTGAGGCACTTTTTCCTGGTGATCATTCGAAAATAATTGATGTATTAAAGGCAGAAGGAGCTGCCAAACCTGAAGCACAGATCACTGACCCCAGTGAAATAAAATTGCAATCTATAGAACAAGAATTAAATGAAGTTGAGATTGATAGTAGTCGCATTATTGAACCAAATGTAAATCTATCTTTACTTCATGAATATGTACCTGCAACAAAAATAAAGGGTTAGTTTTACTCATCTTTAACATTCAAAGTAGAATGCTGTATTTATATGAGTGGATATTGCAGGTTTGGATGACTGGGTTCTGGAATCTGATCAGTATAAATTCTACACCAAAGCTCAAGATTTCAAAGTAGATATAGTAAAAGAATCTGTTCTGTCATTTCCAGAGCATTTACATGTATACATACATGAAAAAGGTAACAACAGTAGATTTCCAAATCCTAAAATAGGAACTACTGGTGTACGAGGTATATATATAAATATTTGTGTATACTTGACTACACTTTATTGATGATGTATATAAATGTTACTAATGTAAGTGACTTTTTCTTTAGATTATTATTTGATGGATGCTGGATCTATACTTCCTGTATTAGCCTTAGATATACAGCCAAATGATGTTGTACTTGATATGTGTGCAGCACCTGGTGGGAAAACTTTAGCTATTTTGCAGACACTTTTACCTCAAGTAGTAGTCGCCAATGATGTTTCACATTCTAGAGTAAGGAGGATAAAAGATGTTATACAGCAATTTGGTTCAGATATACCGGAATTACAAAACATGTTTGTTGTAACAGAAATGGATGCTAGAGCAATCGATGAGAAAAATGTTTATAATAAGGTGTGAATTATAATATCTAATTCTATTTAGTTAATATTTTGTATATAAATAACTTTATTAATCATTTTAGATCTTAGCTGATGTGCCTTGCACAACAGACAGACATGTTTTGCGGACTGATGAGAACAATATATTTAGTCCGTCAAGAATTAAAGAGAGATTGAAAATACCAGAGATACAAGCTGAAATTTTATCGTGAGTATATAAAATATATATTTATGTTATGTTGTAATATACCTGTTTCTTCATTCTACAATATTTAATCAAGTATTTTATTTTTGTAGAAACGCATTCAAATTGGTGATGGTAGGAGGTACAGTTGTATATTCAACGTGTACTCTTAGCCCTATACAAAATGATGGTGTTGTACAAGTCGCACTGAAAAAGGTGTGGGAAGAAACTGGTGCTGTTATGGCAGTGAAGTAAGTACTTCATATATTTTCTCACGTATCAATTATTGCTATTATAATATCGTATTTCTTCATTACAAATTATGTAATATTTGCAGAGATATGTCTGAAGCATTGTTACCTTTGAAGTCTGTATATAGTTTCGGTACAGTCGATTTAAAATATGGTCATATTATTATCCCTACCGTTAATAGCAATTGCGGTCCAATGTATTTTTGTAAAATAGAAAAAGTACAAGAGTAAGTAATTAAAATTATAGTCCTGCGCTTGTAATATAAATATTGTTGTATATAATATTATAGCATTTTAAACATATTTAATATAACTGCATTTTACTCTATAATTATTTGTACTTATTTTTATTATCATTATAATAAATAACATGAAATGTAAATGAAATTTTTATGAGAAACTTATTTTTCGTCAAGTAACATATAAGTTGAAAGAAGTTAAAATTAATAATAATATAATTCTACTGTATGTACAAGAAACTAATTAGAATGAGTATTATGCATTAAGATAGACTTTATTTCTTAATATCTTCTTTCAGCGGCAATGTTTGATCGCTCGTCTCTTCGTCAGCTACTTTGGCTTTATTCCACGGTTGTTCTTCGCCGCTTCCAAAAATAGTATAAACTACTACCTCGACAATGTATAAAACGACCGTTGTGAAGAATATAATTCTCCATGCTCCTATAGTTTGCTGTAAAACATTAAATGGCTCTTGATGATATGTAGTCATATGTATATTCACACATATTCTCTCACAACCCTAATATAAGTAATCATATACTTTGATGAACACTCACGTTTCCATGTGTCAATTTCCCTACAAATATCGGTACCACAAATCCAGGTATAGTAGCAACACAATTAGTGATGGCAACGAGGGTTCCAGCGAAATTTGGAGCAATGTCAATGTGATTGGATAAGAATCCACTATACATTCCACCAATGCAAGTTACTCCAATGGTCATCAATGCAACAGCTAAGGTTCTACTGCATCCAACATAAGATACTCCTATCAAACAAATCATGGGGACGACAGATGCTGAAATAAAAATGTTGCAAATAATCTCCAGCTAAAGTTCCACTTCACAACATGCACAGGATCACTTATCAAACTTACAGAGCATCGTTGCAATTTTTCGTGACGTCGTCACCGTGATCAAACCTTTATCTTGTACAACAGCTAATGTCTTGCTGAGGATCATAGTGAAAAACCACATACATAAGAATGGCATGGAAGAGAGACCAGCATTCTGTGGACAGAAATGATTATATTGTACAAATAAATAATTATTAAGTCTTAATTAATAATATTTACCGAGCTCATATCGAACTTCAATATTTGATTCATGAAGGTGGGTAATTCAATGAGCAACATGTACCACCCAAAATTACTGCAGAAATGGGCGATTAAGATTGCCATGAATGGTTTAGATCGCAACACCTCACCCCATGGCACTGCTAATTTCTGAAAAATTAAGTAAGAAGTAAAATACATCTGTTAGAAGATGATTGCTACATTTTAACGAACCTCCTTTTGTTCGCCATTGTTTCCTTGATGACCCAAAGACTCCAGAATGTAATCCTTCTCTTCCTGACTAATAAATCTAGTCTGTTCTTCGGGACTGTCTGCGATCATTATCCACCAAGCTGTGCACCAAATTAAACAAAGCAATCCTTCGATGTAGAATATCCATTTCCATTCCATATTCGCCGCTAGTATCCCGGTTAAGAGGATAGATATCACGGTACCAAGTGCAGTTCCTATCGATAAATATTTTACAGTAATCATGACAACAACTTCAACTATATTATAAGATATAACACTTTATCACAGAAATGTGTAAAAGTTGTAAATAACAAGAAGATCATTTTACCTGCATAAACAATGGAAGCAAGAATACTTCTTTCATTAGACGGCGCCCACTTAGCGATCATAACATGCATGGCAGGGAAAGTTACACCCTACAATATAAAACGTTACTGTAACACTCTGTTATACTGTGTTATACTGCATACTCCATTATAATTATTATAGTAGACTCTTATTATCAGCGTTTAATAGTAGATCTTGTATAATGGTAGGTCATTAATCTACATAAGAATCTAAGTATGCAAACTCGCTCAACCGGCAATATAACGAGAGTCTACCGTATTTAATATACTAACCCCACCGATTCCCTGGATAACTCTCATTACGATGAAAAGAGAGTAATGAAGTTCCGCCGCAACAGGTGATAATATGGAGGCTACAACGTTTAGGAGCACCGATCCGTTCATCACCCATTTTGCTGACAATAATTCTGCCATTCTACCACCCGGAAGCAGGGATGCCATGTATCCCCAGAAATATGAAGACAGAATGAGACCTTGCAAAGGTTCGTTCCATATGAAAGGTCCATCCTATAATCGAACGATGTTCAAATTAATTCTTTTGCAGTGGTATTCATTTTTTAAGGATCTCGTGTTTGAATAAGTCAATGTATATTTGAATGTAAACAAATGTACAGAATGTAAAATTTGCATAGTATTTGTATAGTATTTATATATTATACTATTTTACTTAATTAGTATATTTACAACATAACGTAGGTATTAATAGAAAAAGTTTGTGACGAAGTTATATACCTCGTTAACAATCTTTATTGTGTTAGAAGTATCATCGAGCTGACATTCTTCCACAATTGCAGTCGTATTAGATTCAAGTTGATGCAACGTGGAGGATAATTTAACGGCAGTATGATTCACCATTGCAACAATTGCTACGCTTACGTTGACTTTGAATCCATAGATGATAGCGAGACCGATAGAACCCATGATCGCCATCAGGTACCGTATCGGAAACACTACCCCTCCGGTTTCTGTAAATAAGTCCCAGATATCTATAAATAGGTAAAAACATATGGCTGGAAGTAGCATGATTCGTTTCAAAGGGCGATGCCTTCGAAGGGAAATCGAGGTACAAGTTATGAATGGTGGAGAACGTGTCGATGAGCATGAAGCACAGGTGAACGTGCTTCGGGTCTTCGACTCCTTCGTTTCTTGCGGTTAACAGCCAGGGACGGATCGTTTAATAGGTCATTCCAAAAGTTTGTGTCATACATTCTACTGCATGCATTCTTCGTTCTTGAACGCTCGAATGCACGTCAAAACTTATCTAATCAAGATAACTCGAAAAGTGAATTTTTAAGAGGAATTTGAATTAAGTGCGCATCATCTCATCCGAATCACTTGTACGGATTTTAGGAAGAGATGTAAACACTTCAAATTATCTATGTGCAATCGATACAAGATTTACACATTTATTCGCTGTGAGAGGTCTTTAGTACTAACAAAAGGATACTTGTTGTTTTTAGGAAAACAAAGTGGATGAAACATAAGTGGATAAATTTGTTCGCAACATTCAATACTGAAAGTTTTTATATGTTGCTAAATTATGAAAAAGTGGACAGGTATCAAATTAAAGGCACTTAAGGGTTGTCATGGAGATGAATTGAACGACCTCGTTAATTATTATAATTGTTATACTCGGACACAATTTTTCGAACGTTTATTTCCAGTCGCAATATAGGTCAACAAACACATAAAACGTGGTTCCAGAATATCTTCTGCTCACGCGCTTGTCAAATAAAAAGCTACCGATATACAATGATTAAAACGGCGGAATAATTGATTCAAGATCGATCCATTAATAAAATTCATGTATTCAATTATCAACATTATCGATTTATAATTATCAACAATTTATATTATGTACTTTTCATCTAAGTCATAAAAATGAACAAACTTATATGCAACTTTATTTTAAGAATCTTCAGAATATTTTTCAATACATGCAGTTTTTTAAAAATATATATTTTATTGAAGTATTTAAATGTTCTGTTATAGAAATCAAAAATAATGTAACTTCTTGAACAATATAGAGTATCACAGCTCTTAAGCAAGAATAAGAAAAGATATGAGCATCAGATTAAGAGGTCAACACAAAGTTGAACTGTCAAAAGAAATAATTAAACCTTTCGAAACTTCTAAAAAAAACTGATATCGCGATATAACAATATTCTGTACCAAGAAATAAAATTCTGTAAAAGAAATAAAAAAATATATTACAGAAAATAAGCGTGGATTAAGTTGGCCAAGTATATTTCCTAACGCAAGTTCCAAAGAAATATTTAAATTTCATTTTTTCGAAAAACAAAGTTGCGCACGAATAAATTTGCATGTAATTTTATTACAGGACACGATACACCAACTGTGCAATCACAGTTGCATCAACCACGCGGTACATTATACCTTTTGAATTGCATCATACGCTTCATCTTTCAGTTATCAGAAAAAAGCGTAGCAACTTTTCTTCGTTTAACTTTAGCCCTGATTAACGCGTTTAATATTAGAAATCAAAATACAGAAACTAATTTTAACCTAAGAAATGCGTCTCTGTAAAGATCTGGAGCAGAGGACGTTTGAAGGTCGCAGGATTCGACGGGGGAAAAAAATCGATTTTCCCGCTATCGGTAAAACAATTTCAACAGGCATATAATTAACAATTTATGACATAACGAGTAAAACTTAATTACTTACCCCTGCTCTTTCTGGCCATGATTTGTCGAGTGAATGACACCGGATAATTTTATAATTTTAAACCGAGATCTCGTAACGCACTTTCCAATGCAGTTTTACGATGCGATGCAAGTTTACGATCACCTGTTAACCACTGAGCATGATCACTTTCAGTCGCGTTAATTCGACGAGTAAACCGAGTTTATAATGTGTCGTTGCTTCGAATGGAGTAAATACCGCGTTCGAATGGAATAAATATCGACAGAGAAAGCCGAAGAGAAATGTGGAAAACGTGAGTATTTGTTCGGACGTCCGTGGAGCGTGCTACTCGGAAAGCGAGTGTGATGCTTCGGGTCCTCCAAGGTTTTCGAAGGAACACCGGGCGTGCGCTCCTTCTATAAATGCCGTATCACCGCACAAACGCAGGCTCGAATTTACCGCCTCAAACACCTTTCATGTATGACATGCCCCGTTCTTACGCTAAATCTGATCGATTCTGAGAATCTCTGAACGACGTTCATAGAAAGCACGTACGTCAGGTTATCGTAAAAAGACGGTACTATGGTGCAATCAATTATGGAGCTGACAATTCTTTCAAAGGGGATTATGTACTTACATTATCTGATCTTACCGTTATTTCTTTTTGTAAATCTGTACACAACTGCACATTAGTGGTCAATGTAAATTAAAATTTAATAATTCTTAAATCTTAAATTTTTTGGAAAAATGAAAATTTTGACTCTGGTATAAATTATCTTTTGAAATGTGGTGTTTGTCATCAGTTAGAAATTTGAAAAATTCTGAAACGCCCAGTCGTCAAAGTATTGGCATTCGAACAACCAAATCAATCAGTATGAGATAACAAAATTTCTTATCTTAACTTGGAGGAATTAAGACCCTTTGCCTCAGAGCTGAGCTCATTTTTATATTTATGGTTTATTTATTTTAAAAGTTATTTTCGATTTGAGAATTATATGAACTTAGTGACATTAAGTATAAGAAGTATGTGTTTTGAAAATGACAGGAAAATCGTGGAAAACATGTTTGAATAATGTGAGGAATTTTTAAACGTATGCGTACTTTGAAAACGGTACTGGCAGCGGCATCTAGCGATGACTGGGAAAACTAATTAGACAGAAAATTCTTTTTAAATAAATAAATTTAATGTTTAATTGTTTGGTGTACAATATTATATTTTAATACACACAATATCATGAATTACTTATATCATTAACATTAATAATTTTTAAAAGTCCTAATTTATTTATAATACTGTCAATAATACTATTCAAAATATTTGTTTCAATCATGTTCTTTTTATATAATTCATTCACGTTAAACTCAAAAATAAGAACAATTTTTTATCATTGAATTTTTGCGACCGCCACAAGAGAGCGCCATTACAGCTTCAAAACCGCGCACTCGTTTGAAAATTAATTACAAAATAAAAATACAGTATGATATAGCAATCTGATAGCTACACAAATTAATTTATTACAATGTATACTATGATCGAGACAGAGGAAAGTGAAGTTTAAATTAAAATTAACTTGACTTTATTTTATGTACCTCCTCACAATGTTCCGTAATCTTTTCTAATCTTTTATAAAAAATATATGTTTTCAAGATGCATGTAGTGACAAAAGCATCTCAAAATACTCGAAAAATGTGAAGTTGCATTCGCAAAGAGCATGCTATGCAAATTACGTCAGTTCAATAAAAATTGGGGACCGATAGAACGTCATAAATATAGAACGATGACGTTCGTAAATTTCAATGTATAAAGAAGTCATACTCGGATTCTTCCTGTTGCAAATAACGTAGAAAGATGAGCGTAGAATCAGAGCCATGCGACAAACTCGGGGAAATCTACGCTTGGATCGAACAAATAACATTCTCTAAACCGAAGAAGAATTTAGCTCGAGATTTTTCTGATGGTGGTAAAGACGAGAAATTGTCGTGTTATTATACGACCTTTCAATTTTTTACGTACATTAAAACTTTGTCTAATAAATTTTAGTCTTCATGGCAGAGCTTTTGAAACGATATTATCCTAAATACGTAGACATACATAATTATATTCCGGGAAATAGTGTCGCAAAGAAAATAGATAATTGGTGTACATTAAATCGCAAAGTACTGTCGAAACTTGATATCAAATTGGGGAAGGATTTAATTAATCAATTGGCTAATTCGCAGCCCGGAGTAATCGAAAAAGTTCTTATCGATCTGCGAGCTAAAATTTTGAAAGATTGCAACAATGATAGAAACACTTTATATTCTGAGTATGACGAAAATGCAAAGAGTGGTAAGTGAAGTAAAGTAATTGCTAAGAAATGTTGAAAAATTATTTAAATGAAATATTACTATTTGAGACGAAGTTACGTCGGTACTTAATACTGAGGAAATAGCAAATAAAACTGTTCCACGTCACGTTTTTGTCCGACTCAAACAAGAATTGGAAGAAAAGAATGAAGTTATAAGTACCCTGCATCAAAAAATCTCTCATCTAGAATCTTTGATAAAGCTCAAAGATCAAAGAATTTCAGATCTTACGACACAAATAGTGAAGACTGGAGACTCTACATTAACAATTGGAAATACAGCCAATACGCATTCTACAAAATTGCGAAGTAAGGTATAGTGCATGAAAGTTTTTGAGATCAATATTGCAAGAATACTTTAAATAGCGATGTACTGCAAAAGTTTGTATTGTATATACACTTTTAATATGATTTACCAGAATTAAATTCATGTACTCATACATATTGCATTTTTTTGTATCTATCAGAATTGAGTTTTTTGTCTTGCTGAGTTTCATATCACATTTGTCAAGTATTATCAATACAAAATGTAACAATATTTTAATATAGAAAAGTTCTATTTTCTTGTTTTTAATTTTTAAATTTGTTAAATATAAATATAAATCTTATATTGGTGCTCTCATACTAGGTGGAGAGACCAAAATCACTCCATCACCCCGAACAAAGAGCATGGAAATATTTCTTTTGGTAGTACGATAAACTTCTTCATAAGTTTCTTCGTCTATTTCTACCGTAGTTACAGTTTCTTCAGCTTCTCCTAATACCATATTCAAATGCTGATCATACGCCTGGAATACATATTTTTAACATAATTAATACGTATAAAGCACATAAAGTAACTTAACAATTACATTCCAAAGCTGTAAAAAAAATATTTACATGCAATCTGCCGCGTAATTCACGTTCATTTCTCATTTTAACATATATTCTTTCATCAAGACTTAATCTTATGAGATCTAATGGTTCTTTAACATTTATTGCTGGTACCTGAAACAAAATATGTGTAAGGTTATGATAGGTTAGATTTGCATTTAAAACTACAAGTCAGGCATATTTACCTGTTCTGCCTCGTCAGCCATGGTACACTTAAATTCTTTGCTATTTATAAAACTTCTTTAATTTATTAATAGCTTTAGGCTAAGGATTCTCAATTTGCACAACAATAAACACAACGTTTACTTGTCACACAATTAAAACATTGCGCGGTATCATTCAGATAAACCGGTATATCTTCCATTTTATTTTTCAATACAACGCACCTCGGCAAGTGGCGCCACGTATATCTTTAACGTTTCATTAATTTTATTTTAATTAATTAATATATGCTAAATATTCTGTTATCTATTGTAATACCAATATACCAGAGGCGATTAAATGTTTTGGCAGCATATTGCATTTAAATGCGAATCATTTATACAGGTATCAGATAATAATTTGAATTGACCATTTGTACCATTTTTGTTAGTACAGTACTGATTTTTAAGCTTGCAGACTGATTACAAAATTTAGGATCATTTCATCTGATTTTTAGAGAATGTACTGACTGTACTTATCATGAGAAAATGGAATTAAGTGGAATTTCAAGTCTTTTGTTCATCCATGTGTTCATATACTTAGGGTGTAACAATTCGTAACTAAAAATGAGCGTTTCCAATTTCCCGCGCAACGTTGCGCTATTTGTCCGTATCGAATGAGCGGCGCTAGCGATCAACGATAAAAAATCAACGTAGCTCGAGGTATTGCTAGAGCGGACTAGCGTGAGAGAGCAGGCAACGCCATTTTCTCGATTCGCGGGTGAAGTCGGTGCGCAATTGTTTCGCGGCGTATTTTCGCGTTTCGTGCGTTACGACAACGATTTTAAGGGCTGTCGGTCGGCCCTGGTGCATTGACCAGTGTTATGCAGAGACACGCGGCCAGTTGTACGATGGATATAGCGAGTTTCGTGAGATCGAAGCGCTCCCGGGAGACGTGACGTCTTGTCAGTCGGTCTTTTCCCGTTTCCCCTTCTCGGTGAGCTCCCGCAGGGATGGGTCGTGCACAGTTATCGTTCATGATAACGTAACAGACACTGAAACGGCTGTAATCGTGTGCGATTTTGAAATTCCTCGCCGATCGCGATCTCGCGTGCAAACGAAACTGTTCGTGGAAAAAACCGGGAGCCGTAGAATGATTTGTTCGGGCCAATGGGCGGAGGTTTAGGGCGGCACATGGCTGTTGGGGCGCCGGCTGTGCAGGGGGTGGTTTTCCCGACGCTAGCTCGAACCGACGAAAATCATTCTCCGTGACCAGTCCACGTATCTTTTATACTCTGTGCGTACGTGTATACCTCTCTATCGGGATCGTTTGTGGATCGTGGCCGGTCACGGTTCGAATAACAAGTTCACAGTGACAGTGGAAAGAGAAGTACTCCGTTATATGTCTCTGATTTTCTTGCCGAAGACGAGGAGCTGCCGAAGGTTTTCGCCTATCGCGGATTACGCGTGTGTTAGCAATTTATATCTCGTGCACGTTTAGGACAACGGAGACGATAATTCTCTGGGTAAATAACCCAGGAGCCGATCTTTGTGCCACAGAAGCGGAGACAACGTAACGGGTAACGTAACCTTCCTTTCACATTTTGCTTTTGTAAATCTTTCAACTCCGTGCGAACCGTTTAATTTCACCTACCTACCAACCAGTGATTTATCAATGGACCGTTAGCTCGTACGGAGCGTGTATGCGTCAGCATTATCGATTTACGGTTGTTGACATATTTCAGTCTTGATACTCTTCTTTTCGTTTTCTTTCTAAAAACACGTTGCAATTCGCTTTGCACTTTATTAAAGTTGCAATTACCTTAATGACTGCAATTGTACTCGCGAACACAAGGGAGACTTCAAAGTACTTAGCTTCCTTTTAAAATGTACAATTAAATATCTCATTCGTTTTACCGTGTACCCAGCATCAGTTTTATCGCTGTACTTTTCAAATTGACGAGGTTGTCATCAATTTTGTATATTGATACTAATTGTTTTAAAGTCGTATCAGTATTATTGTTTGGTAGTGTACAGTTTTTAGACTCTTTAAAAGTATGAGGTTGGCAGTATACATAACCTAAAAAAAACATTGACTCCGTTTATTTTTTGAACGTCTTTGGTATAATGTGCTTTGTACTTTTAAGAGTGTAATCAAATGAATTATTTACACAGTCTCTTTGAAAGGTTACCATGATATTTTAATGCTTCTTGCTAGGTTATGTACAAGTACCAACCTTATATTTTAAAAAGAGACAGATAATGAAAAGTGATGTTTCAATATTTATATGAATCTTGTGATTTCACTACAAGTCAGATAAGTACTGTAAGACTATAAAGACTAATTTTATGTATCTATCTGATTAACGATACGTTGTATGGTTTATGCAGGTATAAATAATGGTTTTAAGGTTGCTTTAACGATACGAAAATCGAAAGATAAATTATATTTATCTTGCAAAGATAAATCTTCTCCGATCTTACATTGTATGGCGGCGATTAAAATTTGCCGTGACATTCATGCGCCAATTAACTCGACCGGCCTTTCGACCTTGTTGACATTTTAAACGTTTTCTGCCCTCCGAGAAATCCGATAGCCAATTTCTCCCTTACTTTCAACGGTTAGTTCGCTAATCTTGGATCATCTTTTTCCGATAGGTCTTCCCATGCGTGTCACAGCGCTGTCATTCCGCAAATTCATCTCGTTCAAGCGTGTTAAAGTTGCGTTCACACTGCGTTGTGATCTACGCATTTGACCTTTCATCGTCCAATAAACTCATCACTTATCTCTATGTATTCTTAGTTACAATAAAAGTAATTTTATTGGTGGGATGATTTTTAACTTTTCACATTGATTAATAAAATTTATTTATTTATTATACTCATTCTTTTTATTATTTTTCATACAAGGTAAAATTTTTTTGCTTTATAATTTTCGTGCCATGTCAAGGTTCTTTACAAACTAACTTTATTACAATTTAATCAAACTACAATTCACTTTTGGCGCAATGTTAGGTTATTTTTTTATTAGTATTTTGTAGATATATTTAAAATGATAATTTTATTATTAATATGAACTGCGTATAGAACGGAAATATAGAAGTCACTAGGGCAGTCAGACCGGTGTTTTCAGTTCAAAAGGTTAAAGCTAGCAACCTGAAATTAGGTACAGTAGTACTACAAAGGCCGTACAGCTAGCGTGACATGAAAAGCACTTCTTTGCACAGTTCTTACGAACATAATTTATCGTTCGCAGTTTGCGATTTCTTTCCTCGGCAATTAACGTGGCAAAGGTATAGAATCACACAATTAGCACTGTAATTAACAGCAATTTACGCGTTGCAAATTTTCGAGGAAACAGGTTGTCTTTGTTGAATATTTTGCTGCGGTATTGTTCGACAAATTCCACGTGTTATCTCGTTACAATGACGAATTTATAATACAGCCGTGTAGCGAGTATTCGATTAACTGGCTTAATTGGGACTCTAGGCAAGACAGTTCAATCGAAACTCATTAAATAGTCAAGTCTCAAAAAAAGTACTCCCTTGTTTGCTTATGAAATTATATTTCTCAGATTTCTACGAACAATTATACCACCTTAATTTAATGAATTATTACATGTGAAACTAGTTATCCGATATTAATTTCTAAATTGCAGCTCGTTTATACTCTTTAGCAATTTTTTCTATACATGAAATATTCATGTATAGAAATTGCAAACGCACAATTAGTAGCTTTATCTGTTACAAACTGGAAAGTCATGTTTAATGCGCAGTGGCTGTAATTTGATCACCCACCGTAAAATAACAGAATAAAGGTTTTTCACCAAGGCGATTGGTATTCCTATGATGATATAACGTTTACTTTCTACCACTCGGTCAAATGACCCATCTCTATCCGATTCTGCACGCTCACGATTTATAATTAGAAAATAATTAACCTTTCGAATCGAATCGTCGAGCCTGTTAAGTTCGGTCGTTCTTTTCTTGTTGCACGAATTTAAAACACTCAGAGTGACTAGTTGATGAAAGTTACAAGCAACAACGTGTACACTTCCTGTACGATGTAAAATACTTTGTCCTAAAATAAGAGATATCGAAGTATTTAGTACTGCATTTGGAGATTTCGAGATTTGAAAATGTCGGGAATTTGGGATCTGGGGAGTTTGGGTTCTAGGGAATTTGAGATTTGAGGAGATTTGGAAATGTTGGGAATTTAGGATGTGGAGAGTTTGGGATCTAGGGAATTTGGGATTTGGGGAATTTGGAATCTGGGCAATTTGGCATTGGGGGAATTTCGAATCTAGGGAATTTGGGATCTGGGGGATTTGGTATTGGGGAATTTCGGATCTAGGGAATTTGGAATCTGGGCAATTTGGCATTAGGGGAATTTCGGATCTAGGGAATTTGGAATCTGGGCAATTTGGCATTAGGGGAATTTCGGATCTAGGGAATTTGGAATCTGGGCAATTTGGCATTAGGGGAATTTCGGATCTAGGGAATTTGGAATCTGGGCAATTTGGCATTAGGGGGATCTAGGGAATGTGGAATCCGGGGAATTTGGAATCTGTGGAATTTGGCATTGGGGGAATTTTGGATCTAGGGAATTTGGTATTGGGGGAATTTTGGATCTAGGGAATGTGGAATCCGGGGATTTTTGGATCTAGGGAATTTGGAATCTGTGGAATTTGGCGTTGAGGGAATTTCGGATCTAGGGAATTTGGAATCTGTGGAATTTGGCATTGGGGGAATTTCGGATCTAGGGAATTTGGTATTGGGGGAATTTTGGATCTAGGGAATGTGGAATCCGGGGAATTTTGGATCTAGGGAATTTGGAATCTGTGGAATTTGGCATTAGGAGAATTTTGGATCTAGGGAATTTGGAATCTCGAGAATTTTGGATATAGAGAATTTGGAATCTGGGGAATTTGGCATTTGGGGAATTTTGGATTTAGGAAATTTGGTATTTGGGGAAATTGGGATCTGGGGAATTTGGCATTTGTGGAATTTTTGATTTAGGGAATTGGATTTGGAAAATTTGGGGATTTTGTGATACAAAAATTTGGGGATTTGGAAATTCAGGAACTTTTACATTTGAAACCTCATAAATTAAAAAATTCCAAAAACCGAAAAAATCTGGAAACTAAAACTTGAAAATTATGAATCTGGAAATATGAAACTTGCAAAGCTTGAAATTCGCGTTCATTTTGAAAATGAAGGTCTCACCGCAGCCGAGTGTACCAGGGGAAATATTACGGAGAAGCATAGTAGTTGAAAGACTCATGAACGATCGCTCGTGGAATCCGCAGTGGTTTGCTACTTTCTATTTTTCGAGAAAACAGAACCGAGTGGCTGCGTGGTGTTGTCGGAATAGTATTCAGCGCAGATCCAACATCTTCTTGCACTTGTTCTTGTTTCATTTCGCTCTTGTGTTCTTGTTCTGTCGCGTTCAATGCGTACGCTTGAATTTCTGCGCGACGATCCGGTGTCACACCAGCCCGACAACTTTTTCATTCAACCACCGCGATTTTCGAGTTGCGCACCCTGTGCGCTCCTCTGCTTTTCATGCTCGAGTGTACTCGTACAAAGATTATCTTCTCGAAATCATCATTGCTTTGATCATTCTCAAATTCTCTAAGTTCAAAATTCTGCAAATTCCAAAATTCAAAATCTACCAAATTCCCAAAGTCTCAAGCTTTCAAGACTTAACCCTTTGCGCTCGAGAGTCACCATTTTATTTAATACAACAATCTGAAATAATTATTTTTTAACTAGTTCTACAATATGACACGTGTGATGTGTAAATATAGTGAAAGAAACAATTGTGGAAATTATTATTAGAGAAATAATAACCTCAAAAGAATTCATTTAACTTTTTAACTACATAAGTTTTAAAGTTATTGTTTGCAAACAGTCAAATTACCTCCGTTTGCAAAGGGTTAATAACGCTACCCTATCGCAGAATAACAAAATATGAAATTTTTTTATGAAACTAAATTAACAGGGATAAAACGATCCGTTTACTCATTGTCATTTCTCGAAAGTGAAAAGTGGCGGTAAATTGGCCGTCAGTTTGCTCCCATTGGCGAGCCTTGTCCGAGTGGCATTGAAACCAATTTTGATATCAAGGCAAGTGCCTCACGGCATGGAAGAAAATTGCTCCTCTATTTCCTTCTACGAGCCAGTATTACACGATTATCCGTCGTTAGTCATCTCGGATAGATAGTTGATTGGGATCTTTTATAATAGTCCTAGAGTTGCTTCTGTACTTGGCTAATTTCAATATCTTTGCCAAGTTAAGGTAATTACCCTTCAATCTTCTAGCCTACACCTTTCGTGTCTATAACTTCTAATTCTGAAATGTAATTTCTTCTTCGCTATCATTGTCTTGTTAATTTAATGCTATCTTTTTTTAACTCTATTCAGAATTGAACAATGCATTACTTTTGTACGTGTTTGGTTAAATAGAAATTCCTTATGTTTGCATTTTTATTATTTAATCGATCAATGAAGTATTTGAATCGACTCGACTATCAGTCACTCAAACTATCAGTCACTATCAGTCATTTTTAAAATAACAC